TTTGAGTAGGATATAGTGTCCTTCCTCATCTCTTATTATAGTCTTTGGTTTAAAATCTAATTTGTCTGATGTAAGGATTGCCACCCCAGCTTTCTTTTGGTGTCCATTAGCATGGTAAATGGTTTTCCACCCCCTCACTTTCAATTTGGGGGTGTCTTTGGGTCTAAAATGAGTCTCTTGCAGACAGCATATTGATGGGTCTTGTTTTTTAATCCAGTCTGATAGCCTGTGTCTTTTGATTGGGGCATTTAGCCCATTTACATTCAGGGTAACTATTGAAAGATAGGAATTTAGTGCCATTGTATTGCCTGTAAGGTGACTGTTACTGTATATTGTCTGTGTTCCTTTCTGGTCTGTGTTACTTTTAGGCTCTCTTTGCTTAGAGGACCCCTTTCAATATTTCTTGTAGGGCTGGTTTTGTGTTTGCAAATTCCTTTAGTTTTTGTTTGTCCTGGAAGCTTTTTATCTCTCCTTCTATTTTCAATGACAGCCTAGCTGGATCTAGTATTCTTGGCTGCATATTTTTCTCATTTAGTGCTCTGAATATATCACGCCAGTCCTTTCTGGCCTGCCAGGTCTCTGTGGATAGGTCTGTTGCCAATCTAATGTTTCTACCATTGTAGGTTACAGATCTCTTCTCCTGAGCTGCTTTCAGGATTTTCTCTTTGTCTCTGAGACTTGTAAGTTTTACTATTAGATGTCGGGGTATTGACCTATTTTTATCGATTTTGAGAGGGGTTCTCTGTGCCTCTTGGATTTTGATGCCTGTTTCCTTCCCCAAATTAGGGAAGTTCTCTGCTCTAATTTGCTCCAATATACCTTCTGCCCCTCTCTCTTCTTCTTCTGGGATCCCAATTATTCTAATGTTGTTTCATCTTATGGTATCGCTTATCTCTCGAATTCTGCCCTCATGATCCAGTAGTTGTTTATCTCTCTTTTTCTCAGCTTCTTTATTTTCCATCATTTGGTCTTCTATATCACTGATTCTCTCTTCTGCCTCATTTATCCTGGCAGTTAGCACCCCCTTTTTTGATTGCACCTCATTAATAGCCTTTTTGATTTTGACTTGGTTAGATTTTAGTTCTTTTACTTCTCCAGAAAGGGTTTCTCTAATAACTTCCATGCTTTTTTCAAGCCCAGCTAGTATCTTTAAAGTGATGATTCTGAACTCTAGATCTGACATCGTACTAATGTCCGTATTGAGTAGGTCCCTGGCAGTTGGTACTACCTCTTGTTCTTTTTGTTGAGGTGATTTTTTCCATCTTGTCATTTTGTTTAGAGGAGAATAGATGAATGAGAGAACAAAATGCTAACAGGGTAACAACGTCCCCAGAAAATATACTCTAAACAAATCAGAAAAGACCTGAAGCCAGGGTGAAAGAAAGGGAAAGAAAGAAAAAAGTAAAAGACAAAAAAAAAAAAAAGAAAAATAAAAAGATAAAAACAAACAAAAACAGACAAAACAAACAAACAAAAAAACAGAATATGATCAAATATGATCAGGCTGGTGCATAGATCAGTGGCACACACTAGATTTTGGGTGTATTTTGGTCTGTTGGAAGAAAGTGCCTCCCAAAATTTTAAAGAAAGAAAAACTTATATATGTACAAAAATAAGGGTTGATATGATGAAGGGATGGAATATGACTGTAAAGATGAAAATTATGAAAAATTTTATAAAAGGAATTGATAAGAAGTTGTTTGAAAAAAGAAAAGAGGATTTAAAAAAAAAAGAAAAAAAAAAGGGAGAGAATGTGATCAGGCAGGAGAGTAGAACAAACCCATACACTAGAGATTTAGGGTATATTTTGATCTGTTAGAAGAAACTGTATCTCAAAATTTTAAAGTACATGTGCCAAAAATAAGGGTAACTACTATGAAGGGATAGAATATGACTCTAAAAATGAAAAATAAAAATGTTTTTTAAAAAAGGGATTGATAAGATGTTGGTTGAAAAAGGGAAGAAGAAAAATTTTTTAAAAAGTTAAAAAAAATTGAAAGACTAAAGAATCATTGTAAAAAAGCCATGGATTCTATGTGCAGTATTTCCCTAGCGCTGGAGTTCTGCCGTTCTCATTGATCGGTAAACTTGGTCTTGGCTGGCTGTTCTTGCTGATCTTCTGGGGGAGGGGCCTGTTGCCATGGTTCCCAAATGTCTTTGCTGGAGGCGGAATTGCCCCACCCTTGCCCGTTTCGGGCTAAGTAATCTGCTCGGGTTTGCTCTCGGGAGCTTTTGTTCCCTGCAAGCTTTCTGTACAGCTTTGGAGGACGAGAGTGAAAATGGCGGCCTCCCAATCTCTGCCCCATAGAAGCCAAGAACTCAGGGCCCCGCTCCTCAGTGAGTCCCCATAGAAAAACAGTCAGTCACTCCCATCTCCCTGGTCTCTGGCCACACTCTGTGCTCACCCAGCCTGTGACCGAGTGTTTCTATCTCTGGCACTCGACCCTGTGTGGAGTCTTTGAACCCAGCAGATCCCTGCGGTGCACTCCCATGCCGCCCCTCCCGGGGGAGGAAGGGGAGTCTCCCTGGATCTGCCGCTTGTTGGGTCCCTGCTGGAGGAGCAGTGGCCCGACTGTGCCGCGGATCATGGTTTATGGCAACCCCGAGCTGAGAGCCCACGCCTGGGCTCCGTCTCTGCAGCCGGCTTCCCTGCTCTGATACCTGGGAGCTCTGCCGCACTCAGGCACCCCCGGTCTTTCTGTGACCCTGAGGGTCCTGAGACCACACTGTCCCACAAGGGTTCCACCCCCCACTTAGCCACTGGAGGGACGTCCCTCAGCAGAGCAGACTTCTGAAAGTTCCAATTTTGCACTCCGTGGCTCTATCTCTTGCCAGAAGTGGCTGATGGAGGCCCCCTTCCCCACCGTCTGTCCTCCCGAATATCGCCTCGGATTCACTTCTTCACACGTCCTACCTTGCAGAAAGTGGTCGCTTTTCTGTTCAGAGAGTTGTTGCTATTCTTTTCTTTGATCTCCTGTTGAGTTTGTAGGTGTTCAGAATGGTTTGATCCCTATCCAGCTGAATTCCTGAGATCAGACGAAATCCGGGTCTCCTACTCCTCTGCCATCTTGATCCGCCCTCTGTACAACCATTTTTAAGACACTTCATACTATATTGCCAAATGGCTTTTGGATAAATAATACAGACTTCCATTCCCAGTGTACGAAACTTCTCTTTCATCATAGTCTTATCAGGATTAGTATTATTTTGATAATTTGACAAATTAAAACAGTATCTTTTTAATGTTTTAGTTTTTTACTTCTTTGATTTTTAAAAATTTATTTAGTAGACATTTAAAATTTCTCTTTTGTAAATTGTCTATTTATACTCTTTGTCCATTTCCTGTAATGGTTTTATGTTTTTATCTTTAATTTGGATGAAGTATGTAATATATTAAGAATATTTTCCCTTACCCTCTTGCACTGTTGGTGGGAATGTCGACTGGTGCATCCACTCTGGAAGATGGAATGGAGGTTTCTCAAAAAGTTAAAAATAGAGCTACCCTATGATCCAGCAATTGCATGAGTAGGTATTTAACCAGAGAATACAAAAATACTAATTCAAAAGGATACATGTACCCGGTATGGATAGCAGCATTATCTATAATAGCCAAATAATGGAAACAGCCCAAGTGTCCATTAATAGATGAATAGATAAAGAAGGTGTGGTATATATACACAACAGAATATTACTCAGCCATTTCATTACTCAGCAAAGGAAATCTTACCATTTGCAATCACCTGGATGGAGCTAAAGAGTGTTATGCTAAGTGAAATAAGTCAGAGAAAGATAAATACCATATGATTTCACTCATATGTGGAATTTAAGAAACAAAACAAATGAGCAAAGGGAAAAAAGGAAAGAGAGAGAGAGGTAAACCATGGAATGGACCCTTAACCATAGAGAACACACTGGTGGTTACCAGAGGGGAGGTAGGTGGGCGGATGGGTGAAATACGTGATGGGGATTAAAACATACACTTTTGTGATGAGCATCTGGTGATGTATGGAATTGTTGAATCAGTATATTCTACTCCTGAAACTGTCCTTTTAGTTGCCAGTTTGCCATACATTTTATTTTTCAGTTGGTTGGGTGCATCATGACATTTTACAATAATCTTTGATATGCTGACATTTTAAATTTTTGCATGTTCAAATCTTTCACCTTCTTTTATGATTTGTTTTATTGCTTTTTTACATGGATAGTCATTCCATGTCAGATATTAGATAAACTATCATTTGGATTTCCTAATTATTTAATCCATTTGTACCTAATTTTTATTTTATTTATTTATTTAAATTCAATTAGTTAAAATATACTACATCATTAGTTTCAGATGTAATGTTTAATAATTTATCAGTTGCATATAACACTCAGTGCTCATCACATCACGTGCCTCCTTAATGCCCATCACCCAGTTACCCCATCTCCTCACCCACCTCCCTCCAGCAACCCTCAGTTTGTTTCCCAGAGTTAAGAGTCTCTCATGGTTTGTCTCCCTCTCTGATTTTTTTCCCATTCAGTTTTCCCACCCTTCCCTTATGATCCTCTGCACTGTTTCTTATATTCCACATACGAGTGAAACCGTATGATAATTGTCTTTCTCCAATTGACTTATTTCACTTAGCATAATACCCTCCAGTTCTATCCACATCAGTGTAAATGGTAAGTATTCATCCTTTCTGTTGGCTGCGTGATATTCCATTGTGTGTGTGTGTGTATGTGTGTGTATATATATATACCACATCTTCTTTATCCATTCATCTGTTGAAGGACATCTCTGCTCCTTCCACAGTTTGGCTATTGTGGACCTTGCTGCCATGAATATAGGGGTGCAGGTGCCCTTCTTTTCATTATTTCTGTATCTTTGCGGTAAATACCCAGTAGTGCAATTGCTGGGTTGTAGGGTAGCTCTATTTTTAACTTCTTGAGGAACCTCCACACGGTTTTCCAGAGTGGCTGCACCAGCTTGCATTCCCACCAAAGTGTAAGAGGGTTCCCCTTTCTCCACAGCCTCGCCAACATCTATCGTTTCCTTACTTGTTAATTTTAGCCATTCTGACTGGTGTGAGGTGGTATCTCATTGAGGTTTTGATTTGGATTTCTCTGATGCCAAGTGATGTGGGGCATTTTTTCATGTGTCTGTTGGCCATTTGGATGTCTTCTTTGCAGAAATGTCTGTTCATGTCTTCTGCCCATTTCTTGACTGGATTATTTGTTCTTTGGGTGTTGAGTTTGAGAAGTTCTTTATATATCTTGGAGACTAGCCCTTTATCTGTTATGTCATTTCCAAATATCTTCTCCCATTCCGTTTTTTTTTTTGGACACACAGAGAGAGAGAAAGCACAAGTAGGCAGAGCAGTATGCAGGGGGAGAGGGAGAAGCAGGCTCCTCGCTGAGCAGAGAGCCCGATGCGGGGCTCAATCCCAGGACCCCAGGATCATGACCTGAGCCAAAGGCAGACACTTAACCAACTGAGCCACCCAGGCGCCCCGGTTGCCTTTTGGTTTTGTCGACTGTTTCCTTTGCTGTGCAGAAGCTTTTTATCTTGATGAAGTCCCAATAGTTCTTTTTTGTTTTTGTTTCCCTTGCTTTTAGACACGTCTAGCAAGAAGTTGCTGTGGCCGAGGTCGAAGAGGTTGCTTCCTGTGTTCTTCTCTAGGATTTTGATGGATTCCTGTCTCACATTTAGGTCTTTCATCCATTTTGAGTCTATTTTATTTTTGTGTATGGTGTAGGAAAGTATCTGCTGCCAGCACCAGCCTAGTTCACATGGACACAGGCTCCAGGCCAGCCTATGTAGACCCAAGCTCCTGGCCTGGCCCGTACCAGGCTGACCCTATAGACCCAGGCACCAGGCTGGCCTATGTGAACCCAGACAACAAGCCTGCACACACACTGACTCAGACTCCAGGCCAGCCTGCCTGAGGACTCCAGGAGCAAGCTATTCTTTTCAGGTGTTTGTATTTGATCCAGTGAGTTAGGTAGATTTCCAGAGGCTTCCATGTTGTAGAATAATTTATCTATTAAGGAATTCTTTGTACCTTATGTTTGAATCCAGGGCGAGGCATATACTAGCTTTATGAGCTCTCTCTAAGCCTCAGGTTTTTTTATAGAACTTGGAAAATAATAATTCCTGTTATGAGATTGTTTGAAGATTAAAATGATAAGGCATGTAAATCATGTAAAGCAATCTCAAGCAGATAGTAAGTGTTTAATAAATAGATCTAATAAATGTAATTATTAACTCATTGATATGGTCCTTGAGCCTGTTTGAAAGATAAATCTTAAACACTTTCTCTTTATTTCTTATTGACTAAGGATCAAGAACTTTTTGTGGGGGGTGTCTATTCTTTGGATTCATATATTTGGGTCCATTTTTATTTCAATTTTTCCAGGAAATCATCAATTTTATTAAGGTTTTTAAAAGTTTTGGGGTGCCTGTCTGGCTCTGCCAGAGGAGCATGCAACTCTTGATCCCAGAGTTGTAAGTTTGAGCCTCATGTTGGGTGTAGAGATTACTTAAAAATAAAATTAAAAAAAAAAAAAAAGTCAGTATAGCATTTTATGTAATATTTATTCATGATTTCTTTAAAATATCTTGAAATCTGTCATTAAATCCATGTATCTTATTTCTTTATTCTTAATTAAATTATCTAGAGGTATTTTATTCACTTTTTTCCCCAAAGAGTTACCTTTTTAAATTTATCTGTCAACTCTGCCATCAGTTGCATTTACATCTCTAGGCTGGCAGCATAGGCTATGGATCAAAGTAAACAGAAGAGCACATGCACACCATTAGAGGTCATGGATGTGGCCGTTAGGTTCCCTTTACTCCCACCATTTGTCTTTTATCCGGTCTCTGCTTACACTCTTTAAATGGAATATCTAGGAGTAACGAAATAGATCAGTGTTCAGTAGGTACTTTGAACTTTTCCATTTTTGAAAAGAATTTGAAGCAAATCTTAACTTTTTTATTCTGGAACTTCAGGGCCACATGAACATATTGAGAACAACATGGTATTATGAGCATTATAAATAAAGAATTGGCTACTAAATTTCCTTTGTAAAATGTGTGTGCTTGTGTATATGTGTTTTTTCTCCACACCTCAGGCTTCACAACCCATGAAGTTTTCTACCACGTGAACCATTTTAATCCACCTCCTGCCTGAATCATTTTGATGGAGACTCGATGAAGGGCGCATTATGAAAATTGGGAATGACACAGTGAATGATGGATCTTGAGCAAGTGTGGCTGCATGAGCTGTAGTTGCCCGCAATGGAGAATACAAGCAACTCACAGATAGATGGAACCTGTGATTGGATTGCTTAAGACAATGAAAACTCCCCATCTTTACTAAGATTCCTGATATATTTCTGTCTAGGACATGCTGATGATCCTATTTGAAATACTAGAATCTGTGCTGGGCCAACTTCTCCAGATGGTAAGAAATGGATTTCAGATGCTCTTTTTTTCTATTATTTAGAATAATTTGTCCATCTACACTTAAAGAAATTTTCCAGAAACCTGACAGACGGAATAAATATCAAATGCCACATTACAGTGCTTCTGTCTAATTTAAGCCATCACCTAATTGGTCTACAAATTCATGTACAGAGCCCTTATTTTTTAGTATGTATGTTTTATATGTTCCCCAATTCTTCTTGCTGATCAATAAAATTCTTTTGACTGTTTTAATTGAAAGGTCAATATTACACGCAGGGTAGTACATGGACTATTGTTTCTAAAATGTACTTCTTATTTTGTTTTTTTACTTCAATTTTTGGTTCTCAGTTTAAATATATAGGGAAAAATATGCCAGCCTTCCTGTTGACTATTTCCCTCCTCATATCCTAGCCTCTCATGCATGATGCTAACATTCTCATACTGCCTATTTTATTTACCAAATCCAAACCACAACTGTAAAGCTTCAGAGTCACCAAGACTGTAAAAAAAATCTCTAGAGTAGGGGAGCATTGTGGCTAAGTAGGTGATATTCAAAATGCTTCCTCATCATTTGAGCTACATGAAGCTATATGATAAACCTTATATGCTTAGCTTTTCTTATTTTATTTCCAATGATTTCTGAAAAGCAAAAGCAAAGGAATAAGAAAAAAATCAACTCATAGGAGTGAGGAAGTAGGATGGGATAAGAGAACGGAGAAACTGTTTGAAATTCAGAATCAAAAACATCTCTTGGCTACCTGTGGTATTTTACTGCCCCAAGCATTTTCAAGCAATTTCAGGAGCAGAACTTTAGCCCATTTCTGTTCATAACCAGAATTCAGTGGCAGAATGTGATTCCTATAATTGCCCTAAATATTTGTTCCTCAAACCAAGGGTGTTGGCACTTTAGGGCAGAGCTAGCTTTATACAAATTGGGAAATGGGCACGATTTCTGACTTAAACTTCGTTTATGCTTTGTTTTTCAAATCCCAGAGATTGTTGTCAATATAGTCTCTTGCCCCAATACCCTTAAAGCTTTAGAGCCTCGAATACCTTAACATTTATATAAACCTTCATTGTCCAATACAATAGCACTAGCAACTAGCTACATGTGGCTATTTAAATTAATTAAAGTTAAGAATTTATTTCCTCAGTTATGTTAGCCACCTTTCAAGTGCTCAAAAGCCACGTGTGGCTGAGACTCACATACTGGGTGATGTGGGTATGTAATTCCTATCATCACAGGAAGTTCTACTGGATAGCATTTGGTGCATAGGAAGTGCTCAATGATTCATTGCTCTCCTATCTTGTTCCTCTGGCTCACAGAGACTAGCTGGATAATAATTCTCCTGAGTTAATTTCAGACGAACTGACTGGGCTTATTTCACACCCTCCAAGGTTCGTTTTCAACACCACTATCTGGACTCAAAGCATCTACCTTTGTTACTTGTATGAAAAGCTTGGGGGATTATTCTTTCAGGCCAGGATAAGTAGCAAGTTAATAAAGAAGGTTTTGGGGGAAGGTGAGGCTTCATGGGTGCCCCTCAGATCAGAGTTGTTGTTGTTGCATCTCTAATTTCTTTTCTTTTCTTTTGCATCTCTAATTTCATAGACAATGTAGTAAGGTTGCAAATTCACTCGCTCGATAACTGCAAAGTAAATATATTTTCTTTCTTTTATCTCTAACCAATCGGGCCTTCCTGGTGATCCCCACTTACTATGCAGCAGGGAAAAAAACTGAATTAACTTTTAGTCCTCAATCATTTCAAATTCAGCCTGAAAAAAATTAGCCTGAATTAATAATTTAAGCAGCCCTTTGGGTAATTTTTAGTCTTTCTCTTTGGAATAAGTGCTTACTCAGTCATATTTTCACTTCTACATCCGCTTTGAAGGTGCATAGTGCAAGAATATGTGGCTCCTGGGTATATTTGCAGGCATGGTGTGGTTTGTGTAAACTTAAGGTGGCAGAGAGGATAGCTCGGGTACACTGGAGTTTTGCTGAGATGGTCTCCACCTGGCATCTAGTGCCGATGTTTAATGTTTGTGAACTCACGGGTATTCCTGCTCACCTCTCTCAGGGCCCTATGGTCCATTCCAGCTACTTGGCCTCACCCCACTCTTGAGGTAATACACCTCTGAGTTTCTTCCATATCCTCCATCTGGCCTACATGCAGACCATTGAAGGAGAACAGAGCTTCCCAATGTATCAAGGTTGGAAACGTCTAGAAGGAACATTTGTTTCCTTCAATCTGCAGGAGAAAATTCTCTCTCATTTACAAAAGACTCTACACAATTTACATAGTAGCATGTCACTTGACACAAGCTGGCGATTACATTTACACTTCAAATGAGTAACTTCTGTTTCCTATAATGTGCGTCTATACCCAATATGTTTTACAAGCTTTGTGGTTATCAAGTGCTTTGCAATGGAAGGTTCATCCCTGGAGGATTAAACAAAAGCTTTGTGCTTAAAAGTTGATTATCTCCAGAGGCTTCTTGCTTCTCCACAAACCTAACAGGTCATAGTTTGTTCAGATTCGCATTGTTTCCCCATCTGCCTTGTCTCTGAACGGGGCTCTTTGTTTGCTCCCATAGGCACGTGGCATTAAGTGCTACAGAGCATCCTATTTGTTAGCTTCTGAGAATACGACTAGCACACTTTCTTGAAAACTTAAAGCATGTGTGACAAAAGGATTCTTCCCTCCTATGTTTTCTCATCGTGTTTCACTATTACCTGTGCTGCAGTCTTGTCATTTTTTTTTAAGATTATTTATTTATTTATTTTGAGAGAAAGAGAGAGAGTTCACAAACAGAGGGGAAGGGCATAGGGAGAAGCAGGCTCCCCACTGAGCAGGGAGCCCGATGTGGGACTCGATCCCAGGATGCTGAGAACATGACCTGAGCTGAAGGCAGACACTTAACTGACTGAGTCACCCAGGTGCCCACAGTCTTGTCATTCTAACACAGAATGAATCAAAGAATGTATGTTTTATTATCTTTTCCATACTGTCCAAATATCCTCTCTCCAACTGCCTTCCTTCATCCAACCAAAGTCCCCCAGTCACCAGAGGGGGAAGGATTTCTCTTTTTTTCTCCTCTACTCCATGGCCTTCTTTGGTCCAACTGCAGCTTTGTGGCTAAACTTTGGGGGAGAAGAATCCTATCCAGGCTTGGAGAAACTGTATGATCTAGGTCTTCCAGGTTTGGTTCTTGATATCTTAAAGAAATTTAAAACATCTGACAAGGACTATGGCCTTGTGTGGGCATAAGAGCAGATGTCTAAATTCCTTCAGCATGCCTGCTTTACTCTGCCCCAGGACTTTTATGACTTAATGTCAAAAGTGGAAGAATGAAGTGAAACATTTCAGGGGAGGTAAAATTTATCAATCGATTATTCACTAAAATATTCTTATTTGATCCTGAAGACATGATAAAATCCATTCCTTAATCCCTCCCAGTAATTGCTTGGATTTCCATTGGAATTGTATGTACCAAGAAAGGTTGTACATTTGATGCAGGCAGCCCTTTTGCCCTCATTGTTTAATTACATGTAGGACGGCTTGTCAGAAGGAAACATCACTTGGGAGATGTGGGAGAGTTCATTTTACAGATTGGTGATCTATTTTGGTACCCCAAAGATGTTTTTATTTTCAGCTTCTTTGAAATGTCAGCTCCTAGAGTGATTTACATTAACAGAGCATGAGGATAGAGGAAAAAGGATAGCCAGAAGTAGTGACATTTCTATAATAGCAGTAGAAAGACCACGATCTAGGTAATTGTAAGCATTCACATTAACTGGCATACTGGCACTTTATGAAGGACTCCTTTAGTTGTTCCTTAACTGGAAGACCTTTAGTGTGACTCAAACTCATTATTTCCTCCAGGGTTAGAAGTCTTCAAATAAGAGCCAGTTTTGAGGAGCTCATCTGTGTCCATCTTGGGACCATAGCCTGGGGTAAGTAGTATACCTTTTCGCTGCTTTCTAAATAGTTTAAGGGTAAATGTGTCCAGAATATTTACAGGTGATGATATGTATCACAGAGATTGAGTTACTTGACCCTGTGACATCCTCAAAATTCAAATTCACCATTTGTTAATCAAGTGGTGTAATTCAATTTGGGGATGTTTTGGATTCTGGCTTATTCAGGGGCTGTTTGAATGTTACTAATGGCTATGAATTATAAACCAGTTTGATTCCTAACTATTGACCTGTGTGTGCACACAAGTGAAATAATAAACCATTATTAAGTAATCATTTCCCCAAACCTTTTATTTTCTAGATGGGGCTGCTGACGTCCAAGTGGTTTAATGAAAGGCCAGGGAGGGACAGAGCCAGGACCAAAATCCAGATTTCTGCACATTCATTCAATTTCCATTCATTTTTTTCTATTCCCTCATTTGGTATTCCACCTTCATCTGTTCATTATCCATCCGTTCACTCCAGTGCTCTTTGTATTGAATCCTGACCATACATGAGTCCGTATCCTGTAATAAATTACTGGTAAACTGAGCGTGAGTTTGCAAAACATTTCTAAACTGGGGCCCTCTTCTGACCTAATACATACAGGCAAAGGACGGACACTCTTAAAGTGTGAGTATAAAATGCTGCTCTTCACCCTAGAGATGCAGCAGAAAGGCTCTTGCAGGATGTCTGACCCATTTTGAAGCACGAGGAATGGGCCGAGTCATTCTGCTAAGTCATGAGGCCAATAGGCCAGGCGCTTCCTGAATGTCGCCTGACCTGAAGGGCAGCGTGACTCAGTGTTGGCTGATCTCTGCTCCTCTGAGGGTGATTCCCCAGCTTGGGGCAAAGTGGAGGGGAGGCAGGCTTCAAAGCCTCTCTCAGCCTGTGGAAAACACAGTCTGGAGCTGGGCGGCTGCCAAGACCACCACATGAATGTTCGTTTTGCTTGGCCTGGGGTCAAGCAACAGCAAAAAAACAGGTTAGGAGTGAGTAATGGGTTACCCTGGCTCTTGGACTTTGTCAGCAGACAGAGAGAGATCTGGTGTGCAGTGCAGGCCAGGATTCTAAGTTGTGGATCTGTTTTCCTGACCAATTGGTGATCCGAAGCAAGGATGTTTTATTGATTTCGATCTGAAATAGATCTAAAGCAATGGTTTTAAACAGGCCTTTAATTCTTTCCTTTGTGCCACTGAAAGATCACTTAATTACTCCTCAACCGCCGCGTCACAGGCTGGCTGTCTCTACTATGGGCCAAAACAGACAGAAATTTGAGATGGCTGAAGAGCACAAGATGGTGTTATTTATTTCATTAATGACAGCAGTCGTAGTAATAAAGAAGTGCAAGACAACACAAACAAAAGACACCTGGAAAGAGGCTCCATCTAGAAGTGCCCAAACCCACCAAGGCCATGTATTTTCAGTTATGCAGCCCAAGTGAGCTCTCAGCTGTCTTGCTTTTGCTGCCCCTTTTAAGGAAACCTGGCCTGGTGTTAACTCTGAGCTGCCCATTTTCTCCTATACTTCCTCGCTATGCAAATAAAAACTTAGCTAGAGTGATAAAAATTGTCCTCCTAAAATAGTTGTAGTTGAAGAGGTACCCCTGCATGCCTAAGGCAAGGAAGTGAAAATATAGAATTGGTTCTTTTTTCTTTTTTTAAGATTTTATTTATTTATCTGACAGAGAGAGAGAGTACAAGCAAGGGGAATGGCAGGGAGAAGGAGAAGCGATTTCCTCCTGAGCAGAGAACCCTACGTGGGGTGCTATCCCAGAACCTCAGTATCATGACCTGAGCTGGAGGCAGACGCTTAACCAACTGAGCCACCCAGGCGTCCCTAGAATTGGTTCTTAAGCATGTTAAAATTCTGTACTAACCCTTGTGCTAAGACAGTGAGGTCTGGAGAGGTCTATTATCAGGAGGGAAGGAATTAGAAGCTCCCAAAAGATGACTCTGGAGAAAGAGAATTACTTAGAAAACAAACTTTATGTGCTTGGAGGGAACAACGAAGTCCCAGGAGAATGAGTGAATCCAGCTTCTCTTACACATTTCTGAATGCCCAGGAAGGGGAAGCTCTTTCAGAGACTTTTTGGGACTAGGGTGAAATATAGGAAAACCAAAATTCGGGATAGACTTGGGGCCCAGATAAGGGAGACTTGGCTTCCACTGTGAGTAGGTGCTTAAATGAAACAGCTCTGGCACCAACATGGAAATAACAGTGAAGGTGGGTTAGCAAGGCAAATCTTCCCTGCCAAACCCTCCCCTTCCTTTCACCCCCATCCTCCTTTATATTCCCAAAGCATCTTTTGTGTACCTCACTCATTAGAGGGCACCATTCTTTTTTTTTTTTTTTAAGATTTTATTTATTTATTTAGGAGATTGAGAGAGAGAGAGAAAGCACAAGCAGGGGGAGTGGGAGAGGGAGAAGCAGGCTCCCTGCTGGGCAAGGAGCCTAATGCGAGGCTCTATCCCAGGACCCCAGGATCATGACCTGAGCTGAAGACAGACGCTTAACTGACTGAGCCACCCAGGCACCCAGAGAGCACCATTCTTAACTATAGTCATATAGTATTTGGAGCCCAAGCTTCAGGGTTCCATGTTCTGGGTTCAAATTCCAGCTATGACTCCCAGATGTTGATTTCTAAAGATCCGTGCCTACTAAAGGGAGCCAGAATTTCTTGGAGAAATGGTTGATTCAGGTGTGGGGCATGGAAAGATGCTCCTGGAATAATTTACTGTGCCAGGAATCAGGGAAGGGCTCAAAGAATCATGACAACATGGCCAAAGGGTAAGAAACTGCCTTGGAGTCCCTTTGGGAAGCCCAGTCTGGGAAACATTTGAGCACAAAAAAACTGATGGTACTGGGCTATAATATATTGATTAGAAAAAAAAAAAAAAAAAAAAGAATAAACAAGTCCATGTAATACTCCAAAGAGGAAGTGAGAGGTGGAAAGAGAAAGCTGTGTTTTCATAAAAGAATGACAACCAATTTATTTGGAAGAAATGATAGAACTAGAAAAATCTCTATTTGGCAGCCAACAATATAATAAATTATTCAGGTAAATATTATCAATGGGTACTGAATATCATTGGATAAAAGATTTCTGAAGAACAGAATGAAGTATTTGGAAAGATCATCCCGCTGGTTACTTAAATATTACCAAGGGGAAAAGTTACTTTCGCAATGGAGATATCTACTGGACACCACTTGAACCACAGGATCAAAATTAGTATGTCTAGTATTGGGCAAAACTGATTTTAGGTACCTGATTTGATATAAAATGAAATACACATTATCTACATAAAATTCTTGCCAAAATAAGAAAATAATCAGCCAGATCCAAAATGCAGCGCATTCTCCCAAACAACTCACCTAGACTCTTCAAACATGTCAGTGTTATCTTTTCCAAAGAAGATGTGCAAATGGCTGATAGACACATGAAAAGATGCTCAACATCACTCATCATCAGGGAAATGCAAATCAAAACCGCCATGAGATATCACCTCACACCAGGATGGCTAGTATCAAAAATACAAGAAACAACAAGTGTTGGCAAGGATGTGGAGAAAAAAGAACTCATGTGCACTGTTGGTGGGGATGTAAATTGATATGGCCTCTGAGGAAAACAGTATGGAGTTTCCTCAAAACATTAAAAATAGAAATACCATACGATCCAGTAATTCCACTACTGGGTATTTACCCAAAGAAAAGGAAAACACTAATTCAGAAAGATATATGGACCCTTATGTTTATTACAGCATTATTTACAATAGCCAAGATACAGAAGCAACCCAGTGTCCATCAATAGATGAATGGATAAAGAAGATGTGGTGTGCGCGTGCACCATACTCTGCCATAATAAGGATGATATTTTGCCATTTGCAACAACATGGATGGACATAGAGGGTATTATGTTAAGTGAAATAAGTCAGATAGAGACAAATACCATAAGATTTCACTTATTCACTTTTTGTTAAAACAAACAAACAAACAAATGAAAAGAAGAAACAGACTCATAAATACAAAGAACAAACTGATGGTTGCCAGGGGTGGGTGGAGTGGGCAAAATGGGTGAAGGGGAGTGGGAGGTCCAAGCTCCCAGTCACGAAATGAATAAGTCATGGGAATTAAAGGTACACATAGGGAATATAGTCAATGGTATTGTAATAGTATTGTACGGGGACAGATGGGAGCTACACTTGTGAGCACAGCATAATGTATGGAGATGTTGAATCACTATGTTGTACACCTGAAACTAATGTACCATTGTGTGTCAACTATACTTCAATTTAAAAAAAGTCAATGTTGTGAAAAATTAAGAAAAAGAAAGCGAGGGGACCATTCTAGATTAAAGGAAACTGAAACAAAAGAAATATGATAACCAAAAACAAAGCATAATCCTTGATGGGAACATAATTTGGGGGGGGAACCCAGCTATCTAGGATATTTTTGAGCCAATTGTAGATTATGAGGCATATTACTGTGTCAACAATAGCTTTCTTGGATGTGATAATGGTGATATGGTAATGTAAGAGGATGTCTAAGAAGGTACATGATGATGTAGTTAGAGGTGGAATGTTAACAAGTGGCAAATCTAGGTGAAGTCTCTAATTGTAGCATTCTTTCAGCTTTTCTGTAGGTTTGAATTCTTTCAAAATAGTTGAAAGAAAAAGATGTTCTAAACTTGGGCAAGTTTTTAAACCTCACCAAGATTATCTCGTTTCCTGTAATGATAGTAGAAATCTTATAGAAATGCCTGGCTAAATAATGTCATGGATCTGGAGTGAGGTATGAGAAATATATTTCTAATAAGTTCTCAGGTCATGCTGATGCTAATGTTATTGGTCCAGAGGCTACTTTTTGAGAACCACTGCTGATGAGGAGCTCATGGAGCAGGGGGAGCCCAGGAAACACAACGGAAATGCTGTAGCTCCCTAGGCAGACTTTTGCAGGAGCAGAACTCCCTTAATCTGCATCAGTGGAATTTTTTGGAAAGTAACCCAACAGATGAAAGGAGCTGGATCCTGTCATCCCATCAATATCCCCATGGTGTAAAATGATCTTTTCTCAACATTTAGATGATAACATTACATAGAGGAAGCATGGTTCCTAAACATCTACAAAATGATTATATATGATACACATATGATATGGTAATGATAAATATGATTGTTGTATATGTACACTTTCATCGTAAATGTATACCTACATCATAAATGTATACCCACATATAGTGAAATCTAACATTTGCCTAGTCTGAGCCTTTATAAAGCAAAATGGGAACTAGAGAGAGAGAAAGAGAACCAACCTGACTACTTTAATTGGGATTTCCAAAGCAACAAGAGCATAACCACAATAGTAAATCCCCTGCATTAATATACATTTCAACACAGAGAGGAAACCAGGGCCAGGGAAGTTAGTAAATGATGTGGCCTAAAGAGTAGAGAGACTGGAATAGAATGCCAGGTGTCTGGGCCTACAACTAGGTCATACTGCCTTGCTGCAGTTCCTGGAGTG